AAAACAGAATTGTTAGAAAAATGACTTTTAAACTTTCAAAGTCACTTAAAATATAATTAATAAAGAAATAAAGTGTTCTTACCCTGTCTGTTGTATTCTGCATCATATCCACAGAAAATGTCACATAAATTTAACAATTAAATCCACCAGCAACATAGGGTATGCCTTCTGTTACATCATGCTGGTGTTCTTGTTCGAGTCGCCGTTTTTTCTGGTTTTTCCTCTTCCACTTCGAAAGACTTAACGTTTGTTTTTTGGAATCATAATACTTTCTCTTCAGCATTCTTGTAGCATACAAGTTGTTTGTAAGTCCCCATTCCAGTCCCATTTGGTCAAATACCATTTTCAGGCCTATAGGACCACAGTTGAAAGACAGAGTGGCAAGGGAAGTTGCTGTCTCCACTGCTGACATCGAAGCAAATGTTGTTTTAGGACAGCGCTGCCAAATCAATGCATTAAAGCTTTCATTGGCATTCTGAGTGCTCATTTTAGCACAGCGTTGAAGAAGATCTGGGTCTGTCAACCTTTTCACAACAGGGTAGAGGATGCTGCCAACTTGCGAGGAAAATGTTGGCCGATGTTTTTGGTGCAAACCTGTCTTCATGGCTCTCTGGAAGTGACACAAAGAATTTTCACCCTCTGGACAGAGTCTGTGGTTGGGTGCCTTGTCAGTGCTCATCATGTGAAAGAATCCACCTAACACTCCCTGCTTCATTTTCTTCACATCAGGGGCATTGTCTTTTAAATTTTTAGCATAAGTGTTAGTAATTTTTTCAATAATGGGCTTTGTAAGTTTGCGATTTAGCAACTGCTTATTGCTTTTTTTTCAGATTCTCAAGGCCATTAAACATTCTTTTTGCAATGTGGTTAATGCAGTCTTCTTTTGTTATGTCAATGTCATAGCATTTAGATTTTTGCACTTCATTAAAAGCTTTGCATCACCGTCACAGAGCATAGTGCCATAAACCAGACTTCTTTTCTTCAACTGATCTTGAAAATATCATCCTCGCTGCCACCGTCTCCATGGCATTTGAAGAACAATCTGCATTCTTCTGACATTCAGATTTATGCCTTTCCATCCAGTTAAGAAATTCAGGTGAACTTGGCTTTGGACCACTAGCACACATTTTGCAATAATTGCTAATGACTTGCGTATCCAGAACGAGACCACTATCAACATCGATGGCAACCCCGACTCCATTGTGCGATGAATGGCCTCGCTTCTGCCATGTGCCATCGTATGATACAGTGATGATGGGGCACCCTGTGTCACTGGCTTTTGTCTGGTTGGTGAACTGCAGTTGCTGATCTTTCTGCAACAACAGAAGCTGCTCGGCACATTGCTTCCTCTGCTGCTTTCCTGGCTGCAAGGCTCACACTTTTTGCTAATGTATAATATGTTGTTTGAGGCATCTGATTTTCAATATTCATGACAGAAAGAAAAGAATTCAACTTAGCATAGCCAATGCCATTGTCTTTACACCCAATGACTGCCCTATAGTTGATGTCATACTGTTTGTCAATTTGTGGAGATGTCCAGTCTGACCACTGTGACTCACAATCTGGACAGCAAATTTCTATAAGGGAGGCCAGACCATTTGTCTTTTTCGTAACCAGTTGTAAATTATTACATCTACAATTTCTGCAGCCCACTGCAGAGACAAGGGAACTGAAGAAACGTTGATTAATTATTGTGTAGGATGAAAGGTCATAGTTGGTTGTTTCCCCAGTCAGATTCTTGTTGTTGTATACTTCAAACTTCTGCTGTGCTCTACAACAACTTTCTGAGTTTGCAGTTTCAGCAGCACCTTCAGTACCCGTAGGCTCATTGGTGTCAGCATCCAAAGTAGAGCTGGAACACAAAAATAAAAGAAGCATTAAATTAGCATCGATCACATTACCAGCATGGCATTAATTTAATGGTGATCGAGACGAAATAAAAATAAAAGCGAAACGTAAAAACGACATCATAAATTTAATTTTAGAAGTAGAAAAATTACCTCAGATTCAAAGATTCCCTAAGTTTCCTTGCATGAATTCCTCTAGGCTTTTTATATCTCTTTTTTTTGTCCAAACACAAATCCTTTTCTTGTCATAATGAAAGCGTATATAATAATCTTAATTAAAACACTAGCCGTCAGAACTTCAAAATGCGATGGAAATGAATCAGCACAAACAAACAACATTAGGGAAACCCACGCTCTGCGCATGCGTAGGATATTCGTCGTCAAGGAAATGTCTTATAGGTACCAATCAAATGCTGCCAAATAATAGAGCCAATGAAATGTTGGTATGGCTATGATTCTATTAGTTTCGTATATTGTCGGCAAAGCTCGCAGGTGCTTCCGTATATAGAGAAATGAAAAGGTATTTGGACGGCGGTAAAAATGATATATAACATGCCCTATAATAATATTTGGAAACAGCTGTTGCTATGTGTCAAACATTGCTATTTTGTGGTACAAAATTTATTTTATCCCCAAAAAATACATGGGGTGGTGTCTTTAGCATCAACTTTTCAACGCTATATTGTTCACAAATGACACAAATCTTGTATGTAATCTATTCTACGAATGTCGAACTTTACAAAAACGAACTAATTGAAAAAGTGATATTTTTGTCACAAATTAACAAAAAATTCCATGTAGTGACCCCTTAAGATTCAATTTTGGCACTCGGGACATTCGAATAAATGTTTCCTCTGCATCTTCACAGCAGCGAACCCAGAATTCCAGTTTAAATCATGCCTGTTTTTTTTTTTTTTTACAGTCATTCCAGCAACGATTTTCATTCCAAAACAAGGTCAGTCATGATTTCTTCGCTTATGTTTTTGTACTGAAATGTGCCGTGTGAAGTCTTACAAACTGTTTGTCATTTGAGGACACGATCAGAGTCCTGTGTCCTTGAACTAGTTTCTTGTGGCATGAAAAATGAGAAATACGCGTGGTCTGTGTGTGTATGTGTGTGTGTGTGTGTGTGTGTGTGTGTGTGTGTGAGAGAGGGAGAGCGAGAGAGAGAGAGAGGAGGGTGGGAGAGAGAGGGGAAGAGAGTGTTTGTGTGTGTGTGTGAGAGAGAGAGAGGAGAAAGAGAGTGTGTTTGTATGTGTGTGTGATGTAAACATATTTGTTGTGTTGAAACGGGTAATAAACTATTGAAACGGGTAATAAATTATCACAGCCATGTGGGTTCCGATGTCACCTTTTGCAGGAAAAAAGGGACTCAGTGCTCTCAAAACAAGCAAGTTGTAACAGGCGACTATTTATGGGTCTGCTAAAATCATATGTGTTTGGACGAAATACGAAGATATCGCGGCCTAACTGTAAACTATCAAAGAATGTGCCAACCGCCATTTTAATAAAAGCACGGACGAGGAAAAAGGATAATTCACCATCAAATACTGAACACCAGAAATAAAGGGGGGGGGGCACACACACACACACACACACACACACACACACACACACACACACACACACACATACACACACACACACACACACACACACACACACACACACACACACACACAACACACACAACACACACAACACACACACACACACACACACACACACATATATATATATATATGTATATATATATATATATATATATATATATATATATATATATATATATATATATATATATACACACAAATGCGCGCGTATATACAAATGAGAATATTTCAAAAGAAGTCAAGGAATTTTAAAAAATTGTCTGAGCGATGACTAGTATCAACAGTTATAAAACAGAGATGGTAGCGCTAAATCGGACACTTAATGAGAAAAAACCAGCAGAGAATCACCAAATAGGCATTACGATAAGAAATAAGGAGATTAGGGAAGCGAGGACGCCCAAAAAGACACCATAAGACGAACTTTGATGTCACAGGCCAAAGACGCTGGACTGGATTTCATCAGTGAGCTAATCCAACAAGAGAACAGAACGGAGGAATTGACTGCAAATCCTATGTGACATATAATGGCCCACGGGATCATGAGTATATATATATATATATGTCGGCTCTGTGGCTAAGTCGATGCGAACGCTTCGTAATGCCGGGATGCCGGGTTCGATCCCAGCTGCAGGCCATGCGCCTTGCGTTGTTTCGACAGTAGTATCAAGAAAGCCGAACGTCCAGAAAGCAATAGCAAACTACTGGAGGTAAATTTGCCAAGAAAAACCATACAACAGTTACGGACTGTTGGGGTTGGTTCCGCAACATCCTGTAAAGGATACGCAACTAACCTATAAATATATATAATACATATGCGTGTGTGTTTGTGCTAAATGTAATTTTTTGTTTATTATTATTACACTAATATATTTTACAATGTATCTTTAGTCCAATGTGTTCAGAGCAAAGATCACTAAATTTTCCCACACTAATTCCTTTGGAGAACATACCGGATTTGTCAACAAGCTCAGATCAATTCAAAACTTTTAAAATACTTTCACTGTTGAGTCGAAAGAGATATATATCTTAAAGTAATTAAAGTAAAGGTCCCTTTTCCTCGCCTTCAGGCATATTCGTCAGCATCACACCGGCCGCCTTTACTTTCCATGACTCTACCTGGTACCTACTCAAGGTTGGATCGACCTTGGAGTCAAGGTCATTTTTGGAAAAAAAATGTCTGGCTTCGTCAGGACGCGAATCCACTACTTTCCGATCCGCAGGCGGGCCTCTAACTTAAACAGTTTTTTAAAAAAAAGTTATACTAGCGATGACATTATTCACAAGTTTTTACATTGCCTCGTTAACTCTTCGAGTCTCAAGGAACGCATCATACGTTTATAGGTTCCTACCTAGAAGCCCAATGAACGCATGATGCGCCGATTTTATGACTCTATTTACTACCCCCTGGGCCTGTGATGCTAAACCCCCTGGGACTCAAAGAGTTAATGCACTCTTTGTTAAATGCAAAAGTTTGTATTTTGTTGATGCGACGCAGGACATCATCGCCATCAGCTGCTCCTGGTGTAAGTCAGCGTACCACAACAAGACCACTTGCTTTATGATGCAGCAGATTGAAGAGCAGTGCACTCTGGGCATTCATGCCAGCATCATCGTGACCGCCTTCGTGGATCATCAAACTGCCAAAACGAGTAAGTGGACTAGAATCTGTAGGATACCGCTTCTTCTTCTTTTTCGCGTTCAACTTCGGTGGAAAGTTCTGGCTGTTCATCCACCTTTGGACTTTAGACTTGTTCCAGAACCTGACTTTTGCGTGCACATCCGTTTTAAAGATCTGACTTATTTGTATGCAGAGTGTTGGTTCCTTGCCTCTCAGACAGATGCACTCCGACTTTGAAGGACACCCTTAGTTAGTCGACTCTTATGACATGCTTGTTGGAAAGGCAGTGGGTCTATTCTTGTTTTCCTTTTCAACAGGAGCCCCAGAAACCACCCTGGGAGATATTGAATACAATATATTGACAATCAAAGTTACAGTGCCTTGTTTTTATTTCTGTGATCAGAACATTTGTAAATGTCCCTTTTTAAGCCATAAGAACGACAATACATGAGTCTAGACTCATATTTTCTTAAGCCCAATAAGATCTAAGACCTCCATATATGACGTAGTTAATATCATGCCGTCTGTCTTAACTTTCCAGGACTGTACCTGGTACTCATTTAACGCTGGGTCGACCTGGGAGCAAAATATATACTTGAAAAAAAAAATCCTACATAATGCAATTATGTCGTTATCAAACATTCCTTTATCGAATGTTTATGTCATAATGGTTGTTGCGTTTCCTTTACAGGACTTTTGCAGAACCAACCCCAACAGCACCTGGCTGTTGTGTTGTGTGGTTTTTCTAGGCAAATTTACGTCCAGTAGTTTGCCATTACCTCTGGACGGTCGGCTTTCTTAATACCACTGTCGAAACCACCGCATGGCCCGCAGCTGGGATCGAACCCGGCATCCCGGCATTACGAAGCGTTCGCATCGACTTAGCCACAGAGCCGACTTATGTCATAATACGGAAACATTTATACTAGACACGCCAGTCAAGCGATATCATTCAGTAAAACTGCATTATGGAATGTTGTGTTATGTTATCACAATCGATGTCACTATATTGGCATGAAAATCCCACATGTGCTCAGTCCTACTGTACAGCAGCCACCCCAAGGCGATTGTTCCTATGAGTCGCTGTTTATAGTGTCTTCATGGTACTGACGGGCTGCACCAGACTTCGCTCGGAGGTTATGCAATCGTGCTAGCGTCAGAGACTAGTTATTGACTGCCAGTCTAATCCGTATAAAGTTGATTCTATATGTAAACTAAGTTACGTTATTACATTTAACCTCACTGCCCACTAGGCATTCCCATGAGTGTTTAGTCTTTAGACAGTGCTACATCGCAAAGACCCATACGAAGAAAGGGCTCCGATCCCGGCCTTTTTAGGTATGAAAGCTTATGAACAGCTCCAGGCGATTGGGCAGCCGACCGCTTTGCTTTGATTTCGACAGGGTTATCAAGGGCCGACCTTTTAGGGCCAATGGCAAACTTCTGAACGTTTAGGTTTAGACAACGGATCAACATCACGGCACAAGGGTAGTAACCCATAAGTGCTTCGTTCTACTTCTGACTCAAGCCTGAGTCCGAAGAATCTCAGCGCAGTGCACTCTCTGTAGCACCGGCGAGGATACTGAAATACTTTTGGTAAATTTGAGACTACAAAGTTTGACCCGGCAGCGCCGTTAGGCTACTCTTTATCGATTTCTAACTGCCAAGGGATGCTTTACGACCGTAACAATACACACGGGTGTCCGGTTTTACTACCCAGAAACCAGAAGAAATTACTAGAAGTCCTCGCCATGCCTCGAGACCACGCTGCCCCCTGAAAGTAAAATTGCCTAGTAAAACCAAAACAGTCAGCAAAAAAGTTTGGTTCTGCAACGTCCTGTACAGGATGGGCAACTAACTTATAAGCAGTTAATCTCTGTTTTCAGAGACTTAGGTCATGTAGGGGGACAAGACCAAAGCCACTTTAGTCATCCCTCCTTCTCCCCTCCCCACGCCCTTCTTTCTTCATCTTCTTGGCCAGTCTAACCCATCTGTTACTTTATTTTTATTTTTAAAAAGTATGCATGAATGCAACAATTAAAAGCAGAATAGTTGCAAATTTGTTATTTAAAAAAAAAAAAAACAGTAATTAGATTCCATTCAGAGTCTGCTGTAAAACTGCTTTCCCAGGGATCATTCAAGTCGTCGATGCGAGCAAGTAAAAAAAGAAAAGCCTCAGTGAAAAAGCGCCGCAGCAAAGATGACTGGAAACCGTTCGTTCTGAAACCAGTTCCGTCGCCATTGATAAAACCGGTGGTGGTGATTTATTAACCCAAAGAGCGGTGGTAACCAGGGAGCGAAACTGTTACACAAGTTCTGCTGGATGTTGAACCCGCGCCAAGTGTTTGACCTGTCGCAGGGAGGACCCAGATATGGGTAAGTGTCTGTTACATTTTACATAGGGGCTAGTATCGGTCAGATTTTACATGTTCTGTTCATATGCTTGTTGCCTTCCGGGTTCTTGCGATTCCTTCTTCATCTGCTTCGATCCTTGTGTCAGAAAATGTATACCAAGAGGAGAGCAGGAATGAAAGCTATTGTGAAGTCCATATCTCCTCGTGTTTCATGCATTTTTGTCTTCACTATGGTTGGAACATCCCAGACTGCTTCTCTGTTTGCAGCCTACAGTGCTCGGCATCTTCTGGTGCCACGTTGCAGGGACACGGAAAAACATTTCGGCGACATTTATTGTACCCTGTCTTTTGTCTGAATATGCCACGTTGTCCAGCTCTAGAATGGCGATAAAGCGAGTCTTGAGGTGGGAATTTGGTGTGGGGATCCAGCCACTTTTCTTGTTTCGTTTTAAGTATTTTCTGATTAAATCGTGTTATTACCGCTTTAAATTGTGTGTCCACTTCTGAGTTTTAGTCTTGTACAAAAACGTGAGCTTTGCGCGCACATCCATTTTACACATCTGGTTTATTTGTATGCAGATTTTTGGTTTCTCCCATCTCAAACAAATGCACTCCGACTTAAAAGAAAACATCCCCAATGAGTCGTCTTTTAGGAAAGCTCATTGGGGGGGGGGGGGGGGGGGAGGGGTGCGGTGTATATTCTCTAAACCTAATTGTGGAACCTATGCATTGTAAAGTGAGTTTCTTTGTCATATCTACTGGACGCTCTTCATTGCTATTAATTATTGAGTTACCACTAGGATGTCTTATTAGATCTGACTGAGTCATAATCATCATCAGTTTCCACTTCTATCGTTTAGCGTTGTGGGGAGGAACAGTTTGCGATCCACTGATTATTGGGCAGTAATGGCAACTGTCATTCCGTGTCGATGTACAAGCTCTTTAATGTCATCAATCCATATTCTTCTAGGACGGCCTCTTGCTTTCACTTCAGATCCTTTCTTGTGTAGCGCCTGCATTGGCAGTTGGTCTGGCTGCATTCTTATTGAATGGCCAAACCATTTGATGTTCTGTTTCTCATTGAATTTGCTGCATGGTGTTGCTCCTACAGTCTGATAATATAGTTTCTAACGTTGTCTTGGATGGTCAAGTATTATCATTTCTAACTTTGTCTCGGATGGTTAAGATGTTGGACTGTCTGAGTAATACAAAGATAATAATAATCATGACAAATAAGAAAATATGTACCGTGATGCAAGTAAATAACATTATATATAACAAATAATATGTAATGTATAAACATATACTTAAACAGATAACTTCTATGTATTGTTGTGGTGTGGATAACTTCTATGTATTGTTGTGGTGTGGATAACTTCTATGTATTGTTGTGGTGTGGATAACTTCTATGTATTGTTGTGGTGTGGATAACTTCTATGTATTGTTGTGGAAACTTCTATTATTTTTGTGTGTGGATAACTTCTATGATTGTTTTGATTGGGGGTCTTCTATGTATGTTGTGGTGGGATAACTTTTGTATTGTTTGGTGTGGTAATTCTATGTATTGGGTTTTGATGGGGATAAATTCTTGATTGTTTTGGTGTGGAAATTCTTTTTTTGTTGTGGTGTGGATAAAATTTAGATTTTTGTGGGGTGGATAAATTCTTTTATTTTTGGGTGTGGGTAATTCTAATTTTTTGGTGGAAAATTTTATGTTTGTTTTGGGGTGGATAACTTTTTTGTATTGTTTGAAAGGGGGATAAATTCTTGTATTTTTTATGTGGGTAACCTTTT